TTGTTGTTGTTATTGTTTCTCACATTAGCTCTGTAGTCCACAAAAAATGGGGAGCCCGTGGTCTCAAAACCCGGCACATACGACGCCGCGGGGAAACAAAGGGTACAAACCACTCGGAACAAGAACACAAAATGATAAAGAGAAAAGAACAGGTATCGCACCGACCGTTCGAGAAAAGAGCCCTCGGAAATAGATCAAAATAAAACAACAAATACAAAAATAAAGGAGGACGCTTCCCACACCCGCCTAAAGAAAAAACCAAAGGGTAACGTACCAGCACCAGGCACCACGCACCAGGGCATGGAAGTAACGGAGCAAACAGGACAAAGAGGCGGCAGATGGGCAGACAGCCAGACGTACAAAAACAAAAGCAACAGCAAAAGCGAGATCACGGTACCCAACACAGCAGAGTAGGCACGGAGGTCATGAAAAAAAGAAACACAGCACAGAGGCCGAAGGCAATACAAAGGACATACATAAAGGAGTATAGCATACAGCAGGGAGGGAAACACGGCGCAATAACATCAGCGTGGTACATAGTTCGCCACAAGTGCTGCCTCGGCCGCCCTACTCGCTTCTACAGCAGTGCCCGGTCGCCGTTTCTTCCCCCCCACCGCCGCTTCCCCGGCTCTCTTTCTCTTCGGTCCTGAGATGGCCGTACTCCCTGCTTCTGCTTCCCTCGCGCGCTGGCGCTTCGCGGACGCTTCCGCCTCCTGCCTGTGCCATTTCCTCATGAACCATGCCGCCCCGTCCTCGACCTTGTTGTACCACACCTCCGGTTCCTTGGCGCTCTCTTTCCATTTACCCCCTTCCTTTTCGTCTCCTATGTTGAGGGCCACGAGGTCCTCTCCTAGACGAGACCGCCCCGGTATCCCATGCCCCCCGCCATCGCTCCTAACAGCATGCGCTTGGGGAGGCGGCTGTCCTCCATGCGCATAACGAAGCCCGCGAAACACAGTCTCCGTTTGCGCACGGTGGCCTCGATGGTTTCCTCGCAGCCTGCCTGGATGAGGGCCTGGGCATAGGACAGGGGGCGGTCTGAGCGTTTCCGCTTGCTCCAGCCGATGCACCGTGTGAGGAACTGGCGGTGGGTCCCATTGAGCTTTGTGTGGTGCTCCGCTGTTAGCTCCACGAGGCGCACCCATACAAAAGAGTCTCAACCACTTCAGCCTGGAGTAGCCGGATCTTGAGCTGGCGGTTGGCCCGTCGCCTGTCGTGCATCGAAGCACTGTTCCGGCGGTAGCACTTCCACGCTCGGCAGCTGCGGCTCGTGATCTCCCGGTCGGCCTTCCCGTCCGCGGAGATGGTACGTCCGAGGTACACAACCCGATCTGTCTGCTTGTACGTCTGGCCGGCGGCGCTGACCGTGAACNGCACAAATCGATCTGTCTGCTTGTACGCCTGGCCGGCGGCGCTGACCTTGAACGGGCGTTCCCCGATCCCTTTCGGCAGCATGCACATGACCTCCGTCTTTGGCTCCGATACCATCAGTCCGAACAGGCCGGCCACGCGCACGACGACCGACATCACCTTCTCGATGACCGCGTCGTCAGCGTAGAGCATGGCCCACAAGACCTCCGCGTCCGTCACCACCG